ATTTATTGAGTACTTACCATGAACCACAGGTCTTATATAATTTATTCCTCATAATAATCCTAGGTGGGAGCTGCTATGATGATGTCCATTTTACAGATGAAGAAAAGGAGGCACAGGAAGGCTAAGGAGCGAGTAAGCAGCCAATCCAGAATCTAAAACCAGGCAGTGTGCTAAACCGCTTTGCTTCTAAAATGTAAAGTTTAAATCCTGATGATCCTTCCATTCTTCTCAACTGACGGCTGAAATTGAGGCTGAAGAGAATGGGCAGGAGATAGAGAAGAATAGCTGGAGGAATTATTCCTTTTTCAAACCAGCATTTAATAGGCCCCTTAAATTGGCAGGCTTGTATATCACTGACAAAGTGTCTATTTTCCTGTACCATCAAAGAAGAATTGCCTTTTTTCTATGAATAAACGTTGACACAGTCAGGAAACAAACCATACAGCTCACCACCATTTCCCTTGGAAGTTAATTGATTTCTGTTAGTTTAAATATTATGTCTAAAATTAAGGTTCCAGGAAGGAAGCATGTATATCTTCTCCAGAATATGTACTGAGACCCAGCACCACACAGGGACTGAAGTAAACATTTAATGCTTTTTTATCCTTCATACATTTCTCTATGTAAATTATGCAAAATGCATTTTTGCAGATATGCTGTATATATAAGGTTTTTATGCATAAAAATGGCCAAAATGCATGTGGATAATATCAACCATGTGTGCTTGTTCATTTTTCTTCTTCCTGATATCATCCCATGTTCTTTGGGTTGAAATTGGGGAGCAGAGATATTTAATAATTTGCCTAAATTCCATCCACTCCAAATACTAAGTGGAGAAGCAAGAATATAAAGTCAACACTCGTAACCACTGATATAGAGGAGGGAGACGTATGCTAAGAGACCATGTGTCAGCTGGGCCTTCCGCGTGGGTAATCAAGACCCTGACAATGAGGAGAGAGCAGGAATGGAGAGGAAGGGAGTGAACACCTTCCGTTAGTGAGTAAATGCCCAGGGAATCAACAGATGAGGACTAACAGCACAGTCCCCTCAATGGAGCAGCTTTTGTGTTATTTGTTTTTGTTTTGTTTTATTTTCCTAACAGGAGGAAAAGGGAGAAATTAAAGATTAATCTGGAAATGTAGGGAGGCTGTTAGTCAGAAGCGAAAGTTCTTCAATTTTTTCCCAAAGTCGCTAATATTGTTAGCTCTAACTTTGTCGTCATTCAGGAAATGGGCCCAAAGAAATGAAATGGCATTTGTCTATTGTAAGAGGAGAGATGGGAATGGTTTGAAGTTAACAGTGAGGTTTGATGGCCTTGGTAATCCCTTTTAGCTAACCAAAGGATGCCAATTTCTGTGAACATTAGCAAATGACCTGCCCGTTACAGAAGTGTCTTCCTTGGGGTCCTCCACATCCAGGCTGGGTGATGTGTCAACTGCTTCTGCTTTATTGTACCGGACGGAACAGGGATTCAATTCTAGCCAACAATCATGCATTTTGTATCTTCTCACCTTTGTCATTATTACTCTCTTCTTCTCTTTTGCCCAAGGATTCCCTTTTAAAACTTTTCGCTCAAACTGAGCTTTTCCTCAGGGACAATGCAGAAGAGGAAAAATGAACAGAAGGGGTGGCTTGTTATTTTAGGTGCAGTTGAACAAGTGGGAGGGGAGTGAGTGCCATGTCAGAAGGATGTAAGGAGTAGAAAACGTGATGCTTGCACTGGAAACCACGCAGGTGGCCATATTCCCGTGGAAAGGGAGGCCCCGGTTTGTGATTTGGCCCTCAGGCTCGCCAGAAGAGAGAGACTTTGCTGACCTATTAGATTGGGCTCTGAGTCTGCAAGCTCTTCCCCCGACGTCATTGCCAGGGGCCAATCTCTCATGTTCAGGGTCACCCCACTGCAGGTCGCCCTTCAACTCCTCACCTTCCCTCCTCTTCAGCTAAGTCTCCTCCACTCTGCCTTTTAAGTTTGGAAATAAACAACACAAACAGCGTGGTCAAGATCTCACTGGTTTTTGAAGTGACAACTCTTTCACCTCAGAATAGATAAACACACAGAGTTTAAGACTAATTTTTTTTCAGGATAACCTTTCTTAGCTCTTGCAGACTGGAGTTTGCTTTGGGGTTGTTTCACTGTTGATAATAATTCTCCTATTTTCTTCACACAGTTGTTGGTCAACCTTGGCTGTATGTCCCACCCTAACACTGTTCCCCACTCTCTGGCCCTCCAGTTGTAGAATCAAAACCTACCTGTAAAACCCCTCCCCAGGAACACTGCAACTTTTAATAAAATCACTGTGATGCAAGACTTCTCAGGGGTAAAGGAATTCAGAGACCAGGGAATGGGCAAATTGACTGCAGTTTTGAAAGCAATGCAGAGTAGAAAAATAATAAAATATTAACCTGGGTAAAGTATGAGATTTGTGCTTTTTTGGGGGGGGGGGGGACTTGTAGTTACCAGTAAAGATTACACATGTACTTTTTAAATTTTACGAATTCTGTCATGCTTCATTAAGATGAACAAACAGAAAGAAGTTTCTAGTTTATGAATTTCTCTTTATATTTCTAAAACAAAACTCTTAAGAAATGTTCTCAACCCCCGCCCCCAACACTAACCAAAACCAAAACAAACATGCAATGTTATTTCTCAAAAGACGTCAGAAGATTCGCCAAACTTGATCTATTTAATACAAGTGCATCTGGAACCTTTTATTCTTTGTCTCATTCTTCAATATTGTCATAAATTCAATCGGCCTCATTGGCATTACCTGCTGGCCACATTGCGTCTTCACGTTTGGATGGGTCTGAACTTATCAAGGTGACATACGTGTGATTTTTAAATGGAAATTTTACTTTGTCATTCTTAAAACCCAGCACCAATTAGCAAGGACACTGCCTGCTTAGCAAAGGAGCTGGGTTTGCTGCAGACCCCATCACAAGCCTCTGGCGGCTTTCCTAGCTTGGGCTGGGCTGGCGCAATGTCATCACACTCTATTATCCACAGCACACAGCTATGAAGGCAGGAGGAAGACACTCCCTGTGCAATTTTCCTGATACTCCATAAGGCCTGATAACTTCCCAGTGGGCTCAAACTCATGGAAAATCAGTTTGAGATGAGAACAATTTCAAACATCTTTCCTTATTTTCTTTTCCACACGCCAATGGAATCATGTATTTTAAGTTATGAAGAACCTTTATAGAGCAAAACAAAACAGAAAAAGCACTTCCCCTTAAAAGCAGCTGTCTCTGTGGGACAACATTTTCATATTAAAAGAAGATACAAAGAGGAAAGTATGCTTAAAATCTCCCACATTTGTTGAAAATAAAAACCTCCAAAAAATTAACGCAGATTATAACACAACCAGCACAGAGCGCATTGTGACAGGGAAATGAGAATGAGAGCACTGAGCTTCAGGTAATTCTGGATAAAGGCCATACCAACTACACAAGGGCTGCTCTCAGAGAACGGGAATTTACTTTTTCACCACAGATGTGCTTCGGTCCTAAGTCTGTTCTGACTTTTTGCCGTTATAGACCACTGATATGCCTGCTTTAATTCCAATGCAATAAGTGAATTTCCAAAAAGCTTATGAAAATATGTGGCTGCTTAAACCTGTTGGGTATCTGCAGTATCCATATATCAGAAGTCTTTGTTCTCAGTCTGCGAGGAAAAAAGCCAAATACACTCCAGTTTGCCCCGCTTAAAAGGTGCTCAAGAGAGGTGCCCGATTACCTGAATTTCCATTTGGCTCACAATGAGAGGGAGAATAACCACCCAGATGCTTTCAGTGTTGCTGCTGCGCTTGCAACAGGCCCTATCTAATAGTTTATCATACTCAGAAAACAAAGCATAGTCTGCAGAAGGAATTCACGGCTCCCCTCTCTGACAGAGCGATCTCTTTGAATTCTTCTGTTGATTTCACAGATTTCAGACAACCAGAGAACTGTTTTCTAAATCTGATTTTTTACCCCAGCAGCACCATTTCCTCCTCTGTAAGTACGACAGATTCATCCCACAGGCAACAATGGATGCTTCCTGCTTAAGTGGAGCATGACAGATTAAGCTTCAGGCCGACTACTAAATGCATCTCCCCTCTCACTGAGACTGTTCAGAGCATGCATCAGGGCCTCGCTGCATTTGGTCCTGCAACTGCCAGCTGGGTCAGGAGCAGCCCTGACTGAGAGAGCCATGTGAAGACTCCACAGAGGACCAGCAGGGCTCAGGCGAGGCGCCTCACTGCAGTGCTCCCAGCCAGATTCCTCACCTCCGAATCATGCCAGCCTCAGGAAAGCTGCCTTGTCGGATGCCTAAGGAAAAGCAGGCAGTTTGCACATGTTTGCTGAATATAAAAGAGAAAGATGTGCGTTTAGAGAAAATGCACGGAGACCTTGCACACAGAGATAGGTGCCTTTCAGATCTTGCCGGATCTGAAATAAATGCTGTTATTTCTGGCCAAGAGGTTAGGTGACAGTGACTTGAAGAATAACTAAGTAAAAAAAAAAAAAGGGAAATTAACTAATGAGCAAACGAATAAAGCACAAACTAAATAAATAAACAGTAGCCAAAATCTACTGATGATATTTGACCAGTTACATTAGAAAATGCTTTTTAATTAGAAAAATGACGCTTGCAATATGATGCTTCTGAAAGGCATTTGCAGGAGAGTAGTGTGTTGCATAACACAAAGTGTACTTGTATCCAGAATTATAATCTGAGGATAACCATCACTCAGATTGCGGTGAGGGGCATCTTAAAATGCTCCTCAATTTCCTTGTTAGGTCTTACATGTAAAATCTAAAAAGCAAAGCAGTGCTGGCTCTTTGCACAGAAATAGACTTTGAAGTCTGCCTGTTGGTGTTAGGAACAGACCTAGTCAAATTGTACAAAAGCATGATGGCACTGTTCTCACCTTTCTGTAATTAGTGACTATTCTGCTTGCTGAAATCTTGAATCTTTCACAACCACATGTGTATGTTTGTCATTTGTCCCCTTTCCTCAGGTGCAAAGAAGGCTACCAGGGAGTCCGTTGTGATCAATTTCTGCCGAAAACTGATTCCATCTTATCGGATCCAAGTAGGTCAAGCACTTTTCTTCTCTCTCTGAACACAGTGTATAGGCAGCCCTTACTCTGAGCGATGGTTGCTAGCTCGGCTGAAGGCTGAATGTCAGTCATGTGTCTCTGAAAGATGCTAAGGGTGGAAACTGGTGGCACAAGTTGGAGTTCACAGATTGCTCAACACCAACTCAATTCATTCTGGGTCTAGGTCTTCTCCAGCGATGGGGCTGATGTCCAGATTCAGCTCCATCACTAACCTAAGCTGGAGACTCCAGGAAATCCTGCTCCGTTAGCTTTCAGGCTCCCCCTCCCCAACCCGATTACAAAAGCAAGGATACAGATAAATGAAAGAATTTATTATTTATCCAAAAGAATGTTATAGAAACTACCATATCATATTGGTTCTTACCGTCTAGTTGGTAATTTGAGATAATATTAAACCTATTAACCTTTACCTTACTGAAGTAAGAAAATATGCATGTCAATTTATATGTTTTCAAACAAACGTCGCAAACCCCATTTTTAGCAATGCTATTTGCATATCAGCAATTACATTACTAACGATAAATTATTTCTTTTTCCATTAATGAGACAATTTGCCACTAAGAAATATTGCTAGTCATTAGTTTCTGCTTCTATATGGAGTAAAAAGTAGCATTCTATACTAATATGCCTAATTCTGGTCAAATGTGAAATGTTTACTTTATCTGTAAGTAATCTTCTGCTCTTTCAATGACAGCTACAATTGAATCCCCACTAAGGAAAGGGGAATTTTATTGAATCAGCAATTTAGTTCGGTGAGGATAATGACAGGCATTTCTAAACCGTAAAGGCAGTGTTATGGTTTTCTAAATACCAAGCATGCATAACACAAAGTTTAGCAAAACGTTGTGTATTGACAACAGACAGAGGCTGCCCTGCGCCTGAGTGTGCACGTGGCTGCATAATGAACATGTCTAGGCATCTTTCAACATCTTTTCAAAATGTGCATTTCATTTTTCCCCTGTCTAGCTAGACTTCCACAAGTAAATGCAAAGTTTTTTTTAAAAAAGGAAAAGTTTAATTTAATTTAATTTAATTGGGTTTTATGTTGACAAGGCAAGCCACCATACAGTGTTAACCAGTCTTTTCTTTGCAAATTTAGCTCTCCTTGAGAAAAGTGAAGGTGATCTAATAGCTAACAACCAGACCAGCCATGGATTATCTCCGTTCTCTGAAATGTGAGGCACTGGTCTCTAAGAATTACCCAGATAGGGGCCTTTACTGGAGTGTGTTGTATCTTTTTCATCTTGTCATTTTGGCCCCTTGCTAAGCTGATGTTTGAATGGTGTGGTTGTGGCTGAAGACATGTATTTGGAATATTAGAAAGCTGACAAAGAAGAATGGGTGCAATAGTTTCTTTTTTCTCTTTCTTTCTTTTTTTCAATTTATCTGATGTACCTAGTTTTTCTCTTTGTTTTTCTTTCTTCCTCTCTCTTTCCTTCCTTCAATTTTCCCCTTCCCTTCCGTCTTTTTCTTCATTATTTTCTTTCTTCCCTTTATGCTTTCTCTCTCCCTCCCTCCCTCCCTGCCTTCTTTCCTTCCTTCATTCCGTTTTCTCTTCGTCTATAGCTGTGGAATATCTATCAAGTACAGGGTACTGGGACCCGGCTGCATATGGTACAAAATGGGTAAAATCATCTGCCTTTAAACAATTTGATTGCACCCTTGCCCTCCAACTGAATATCATAGTCTATCACTGCAGAAGTTGAGGGTGAGGCCCACCGTAAGAACTGTGTGCTCCTCAAAGAAAAATGATCCTGTGGTCAGAGTCACTAACGCTGAACACCTAGGTGTCAAGTGTATAAAATATTTAGTGCAACAATATTTATGATGGTGAAAAAATGGACACATTCTAAAAACCAACATAAGATTATGTTTATGTAAAATAGCATATGGCACATCTATCATGTTTTATTCAATTATCATTAAAATAATAGCTGTATGAAATATTCCTATAGAGTAAAACAGCAAGGTGGAAAATTATTTTCATTTAAGATTGTAATAGGAACATCCTTTGGTGCAAATGTAAAAAAAACCCATATACTAAAGTGCTAAAGGGGACTTTTAGTACTTGGGCTATGGAAGTATATGAATTTTTTCCCCTTTTTCTCCTGTTTTCTGTAAAATGGCGCGTCATTATGTGAATCAAAATATCATAATGCCTTGAAATAAAAAAATAAAATAAATGTTGAGAAGCTTATGGATGAGTCCCTGAGACACAGTTTAAATGGGAAGATGGGGAAAGTATCATATCTTCCATTTACCCATGGTTGCATCCATTTATTTATGCAATCATTAATTCATTCCACAAATATTTTCTGAGCAGCCGCAAAGGGGGCCATCTAATCAGTTAGGTTCTGTTAGCACAAAGTTGTCCAAACAGGATTTAGGCTCTGAGGCCCCCAAAATCTACGGAGGGAGAAAAGTCTGTGTATACATAAGCATGGGCACCATTTGGGTGAGAACATTTACTCTTGTCACCTTGGCAGATGCATTTGGCCCCTGAGCCTCTGGCTTTTCATCTGAATAATGGCAACAATAATAAGTATCAAGATTGACAAGGAGTCAGTGCCAGATAAACGTTAGCCTACTTCCCTCACGCATCACCCCAATGAGGCAATCACAGGTTTAGATTTTACCTGTGCCGGGCACTGTGCCAAAGGGCTGTATCTGGAGTCTTGTGTGAAAGCCTCACAATCACAGTCTAGCAGAGAGTTGCTGGCAATTGCTCACATTTTATGGATGAAGAAATTAGGCCTCAGAGATGCTAGATCAACTTGCTCAAGGTCACACAGCTAGTTAATGCTGGCGTCTAACTTCCCATCTAAACGACTCCAGGGCCACGGCTCCACATGGCGAGCTCTCCCCTCCCTTCGCTAGACCCCTCATTCCTCTAGTTATTTCCAATGTGACATTTATCACTCTAAATTTCAGTGATTGAAACTCAGTGAACTGCAGCCAACATTATTCTAAGGAACAATATTTGCACAATTTTCATATCTTAATGCAGCAACTTGAGCTTCCAGGGAGAGTCAAATCCCTAATGAAATTTCCTTGTCAAAATTCTTGCTGAAGGATCGCTTAATTTGCTGCTCATGATATCTCTGGAATGACTCTATGCTCGGGAAATAAGCTTCTGTCTAACGCCCGCCCTCTGCTTTGCCTCCTCTCCCCACTTCCCTCTCCTTCCCGGTTCCTTCCTCCAATGCATGTTCTCTTTGGTGAAATTCCAGGTAACGGGGGGCTAGAAGCCTTGGCTGTTTTATTCTCCCCCAGGCAATGCAGAGTTGATCAGAAGGGTGCACCTTTGTCAATTAATTTAAAAGAATAAATAAAATCTCAAATAATCTGCATTTGGGGAAATGAAGCCAGGATGTCACTGTGAGAGCTCTGCTCAATAGCTGTTATGACCAGTGTCTTCACTGTGACCCCATGCTGGATTCTCAGACCTGCTATTCCAAAAACTCATTCCCCACCCCACCCGCAGAGAACCTGTAGTTAACTCCACTCAGGAAGACTTGTATCCTCATAAGAATCAAACTTATAAAGTGCCTTTATGTCAGTTTTTGAAAAAATATCTAATGCATGTAGCTATCAGGTTCATTAAACCCTCAGATGGACTCAATGTACAGAAGCCACATTCCCATCACAAGGATGAGTAGTAGGGGCTTCAGAAGGAAGGCAATGAGAAGAAGGGACTTTGGTCAGGATGGAGAGGATGTGACCTTCTGCGCAGGAGCCAGCACCATCTGAGTTGGCATTCCTGAAGAGCAGAGCCCTGCACCCTGCCTCCGGCTTCTGCCAGCCCTACCCATGGACAGCAGCAGTCAGCTTCCACGAAGCCCCCACAAGCTTCTTGAGGATTTCTAACGTAGTTTCTTAAGACTAGTCCCTTTTCCCCACAAACACAGGATCAACCAGTAGGCTCCTGTCCTGTCCTCTCTTCCTTACCACCCATCCCCACCCAGGTTGAGTACCCTCGCCAGCCTTGAAGCAGAGCTAGAGGAACTGAAGAGCCATGAGCTGGCCCAAGGATATTTTCCTGGGTCTCCTCTCTTAGGGGCACGTGCCAACCTGAGTTATCATCAAGATCCTGAGCTCATCACTGGCCAGTGAAGCCTGAGAGAAGCTCCAGAGAATGGATTCAGGGCAGTATCAAAGCAGGGGGCGGGTGGAGGAGACATCCGTCTGTGTTGAGGGTCCTCCTCCTCACACACAGCCAGAGGCAGCCAGTCCCAGACCTCGTCGTGACTTCCTGTCCAACACCCAGTGTCCCCATGGCTGGTGGCAGGTGACAAGTCTGCAGGCCCAAGCTTTGGCATGGGGCTTGTACAGCTTAAACTCTCAGAGTCATCCAGTCTCCACCATGGGAGAGTGCAGGCTAACTTCTACCTCTAGTCCATATAAACTATTAAGAGAACATTTTCCACCGACTATTACTGATCTGGTGTGCTTTCATTCAGCAATTTATGAATCGGGCAGCATCCAATCTAGCAGATAGAAAGATGTTTCAAAGAGCTGTCCAAGGTGAGAGATTTTTATACACCAAAGTGAGCAGAGAAAAGGAAGTTATCCTGCGCATTTGCCGATTGGTTAAAGCAGGTTACTTTCCTTATGTGGAGCAAAGGGAAGTCTTGGAGCCGGGTTAGGTAACCTGTGCTGAGCAGGCAAGTGCTGACTGGTTGGCCTTCCTTATCTGGGGAAGTTGAGCACAGAAGCTCAGTTAAGTTTTAGTTTGCTGATATGGGGCTTAGCATGAGTGACTCCATCTTGGGCCATTCACACTTCTGTTTCTTTGGATCTCTGAACCCAGGCTCTGCCCTCAGAGTGCCCTGTAATATGCCAGGAGCCTGGTCTGGGTGTGGTTCAAATGAAAGCTAGCAGAAAAGATGACAAGGGTTTAGACTTCCTATCACTCCAAAACTTGAGTGTCCCAACTTTCCAGGAATAATCACTTTGTGAATCCAAAAAGCAAAGTTGCCATCGCATTTGGTTCTAGCCCAAGAGGGGGCATCACACAGTGAGCCAGTCAACACAACCCACTTCTGAGTGGTTTGCAGAGACAACAAACTCGTCAGTCTTGAGGGCAATAGGTCTCCTTCTCTGTGTACCAGGAAGTCCACTGAGTCATCACTCCCCCAGTGCCCAGACCATTAAGCTCAGGGCACACTGGTGCTCCTTTGCCATGCAGGGCACAGGGAGGGAGAAGGAAACTTGAGAGCAGCCTCGAAGAACCAAAGTGGGGCCTGAGAGCCTGGGCAGGAGTTGGCTAAGCAGTCGCAGAAAGTTTTCTTGAAGAGTATCAGCGGGGAGCTTCCCACAGAGACCCATGCTCCACACTTGCCTTTCTCGATTTCACTCAATACATAGAAATGCATTCCATGTGTCAACAATTAGATGGAAGAGTGCAACCAAAGCTGCTCGGAATTAGGAGTTAAAGGGTCTTAGTTCTAATCCTGTGATCACTTGC